CCATGGTACTGGCTTATTCCAGGATGGAAGAGAGGGAGGAAGGTGGTCATATGTAGCCCCAACTTACATCATTTCTATGGTTTATGATCCAAAAGGAAGAGAGGCTCTTTCTCAGCATTCACAGAGCGAATCTTGTGGAAGATCTTAATGATTCCCTTGGTTCATGTACCCATCACTCATGGTTAACAGTCCCACCAGGATCACGTGGGAGTGAGGAAAAGGGGAGATGAGTGGGAAGCAAATACCACCACACCAAGGCTAGGCTATTACTAAAGGTAGGGCTAGGACCTCAGTCCTACCGCCGTTGTGAAGGTTATAGTGAAGATGAGAAATCGGTAAGCTTAGAGCAAAAATAGTTTAAGCCCCTTTTAAAGGAATATAAATTAGAAATGAAGATAAAAGTCTAATATGAGTTAAATCCAATGACTTTTTTATTTTCATAAGTATATGGATATTGTAAAATGCAAATCCCTGTTATTGCTAATGAATGCTCCTATACACACTCAATAATTGAGGGTGGAAGTGAACTGAAAGCCATGCCTCTCATTTCCTTGCTCCTTATTTTCTTCCTGTCATAGAGGGGTATTCCAGGTATAGTTTCAAGGGGAAAAAAAAGACAAAACGTCTTAAAGAAAAATTTCCAAATGGATAAAAATTATTAAAATGTGAAGAAAGTAGATGATTATGGTAAGTTATCATATGTCAGGCACTGTAATCAGTGCATAACCTCACTTCAATCTGATAACTATCTTATGAGTTAGGAAGTGTTCGGCTTCTTTACAGGCTGTGGGGAGTGAGAAATTTGCCCCAGCTCTTGGCTCTCAGAGCTGGGATTCCACCTTGGGTATGTCTGATTCCAGAGTCTGGGTTCTCATCATTATGCTTATAATTAGTTACAACTTTAGTGCATTTAATTGTGTAATTTGACTATTTTAGGGGCAAAATTACCGCTTGTGGTAAATTATTTTCTGTTTTATCCTGTGTGAAATAAAGTGTCCTTGAAGCTGGCTTTCTCTTTCTTTTTTTTTTTCCCCTCCAATTTTCCTTCTGCATCAGTGACATAGGGTCCCTCTCCCTGCCTTGATCCATGACTGACCTGGGCCTCTCACTGCCTGGTATGCACCAAAACACTTGAAGTCTCAAGCTATACTTACATACATTAATCACATGAAAAGCCATGAATAACCTATAATTTCTGAGGTACATGCAATTGCACTATTTATTTATTTATTTTAAAATAGAGGTACTAGGGATTGAACCCAAGACCTCGTGCACGCTAAGTATGCCCTCTACCACTCAGATATACTCCCTCCACCCGCCATTAACTGCATTAAACTGTGACTCATGAAAATGTCACCGTGGAGGGTGTTTCCCGAGACCAAAGTCCCTTGTCTACACTAGCTGTCTATGTATTCTTTTTATTGTTTTTGCTGAGAGAGCATCTCTTGTCTCAGGCTTTTTCACTGTTCTTCCCTCTCAGCTCACAACCAGCTTTGTGTACCCTCCACCCCACCCCTACCCCCCACTCACAAGTTGGGCTAGTCTACCTCTGATGATGTCTTATAAGCCTAGGCCTTTTCCTTCTATACTGGTTGATAATTGGTTGGATGATGCTTCTGCTTATTATCTTAGGCCTTCTATAGTTCACCGGTCAGCCACCATTTGATACTCTACAGACTTCCAGCCTCATCTCATGGCCAGCCTACCAGTAGATTCATGATAAACTCATGAAGCAAATGCTTTCATCTGATAGCAAAGCACAGTGCTTTGTCACTTGATAACGGCTTCCCAGATGGCTATAATGTATTTCTTTTTGTATTACCACTCAATCATAATATATGCTTAGGGAGAAGTTCATTGTAAATGACAGTGGATATAAAGCCACATTCAAATTATCTTTTTTATGAATTTGATATTTTTAAAGTCAAAATTGGTTGGATTTATTACATTGTTATTTTAATTTTGAAATGTGACTGTCAGAAATCTGATACTGGGAGAAGTGTCAGTCGGGCCATTTACTTGTTTTCCTGTGGTTTCTTTGCAAAGGACACTGATAAAGTGACTTTCTTATTTTCTATGGGTTAGTTTAATTAAACGTAAATAATACAATCAGTAAGTCAACTGAAACTAGCAAATCATAGTAAGTCACTGTATTTTTGACAGGGACCGACTGGGTGGGACCACCACTGGCAACCCCTGGAAATGAGTAATCCCACTTTTCTTTGAAGACATCTCCTGTGTTCTAGGCCAAGAGACCATTCCATGGGTTGATAGTAGGGTCACTCATCATGTATATAAAATATTAGTTTTCTTTTTTGATTAAAAAATTAAACATAAATAGATGCCCTCATATTTTCTGCTCCTGCATCCTAAATGGACTGCCTTGTACTATTCCTGGAATATACATACCCCTGGGGTGCATGGACTTCCTTTAGAAACTATTGGTCCAAGGAACAATCTCTCACATAGGCAAAGATGTTTCCATTTAAAAACCTACTCATTTCAGTTACTCAGCCACTTTACAGAAAGTGAGTTTTGAAAGGAATTGTCTTTATAGAGATCCATAATTTGCAAGCAAAATATCCACTCTACAAAATGTGAAATGTTCTAAGCAACAGCTGTGAGCATTTCAAACATGCACTACTCTTTGACAGTTCAATTGTTGCCAAGGGAAACTGAGTTGGCTTTAAAATCTTCCTTGGTTTAAATTCTGCTTTTACCCTTAATCAGAAATTGAGCAAACAAGTTCTGCATGGCTGGGACACTGAGCTTTTCATACAAACTGGCATGGGAAATTGAGATGTGGAAATGTAAGTTTCTTGAATACAGGAAGGAGACTGGTATTCTACCCAGTTTTCTAAGGCCTAGGGGTAATGAACTTTTCAAACACTGGCACTGTCTACACAGTGGCTGATCACCCGGTGTCAGAAGGGGAAGCTCCTTTCCATCTAAGACTACCATCTTTTTGTTTCCCATTTCAGTTCAAAACAGGAACAGAAAAAATTTCTTCATAGTACAAAAAACCTTTTTCCATTCAAGAACTTTATCTGGGAGTGTGCATAAAATTTGAGTATTAAACACCACAAACAAGAGAAATACAACGCATTTGTTGTTGTCACTCGTATATATGGTGCAGTTTTATTTATATATAGTTCTATTTCCTAACTATTATTCATATATAGTTCTACTTCCTAACTATAGAGAACATGGCTTAATACAAAGGGGGAAAAATTAATCTACAGAACGGCACCCACTATACTAAAAAAAAATACTGGAGTTAAGTTCACCAAAATACTAACAGTGGTTATCTCTGGGTTGAAGGATTATAAATGTTATCTTTTTCCTTTTCCAAGTTTTGAACATTTGGTACCGAGATTTGTACTTAGCATTAAGAACCGGAGACTGCTGCTCTAGATAATACAAATCTACGTACACCCTCAAAGATGTACGTAGCGTGCATTCAAATAGAGCGACAGTCCAAGAATACTCTCTGGAAATACACCATTTGGCCTAGAGCTCACCAGGGATGCAAACGTCTCTCTAAATATTTTATCACTTGTTGTAGCCAGAATTAAGTGAAGCCTTCTCCAAAAACTCTTTTGGATTCAACCCGCCAATTAAGAAGCTCCCATGCTCCTACAGTTTGGAGCCGGGTTTCCCTGAGCTCCGTGCAGCGGGTGGGCCGGAGCGGCTAACCTCAATAAATGATCGCAGAGCGTAGACAGCGTTGACACCTGCAAAAGCTACCCGGAGCTGGCCCCAACCTAGGCTGGCAGGAGCTTCAGGGAGCTGATATTCAAAACAGAGGTTTAGGTTAAAGGAGACGAAGATACAAATCGAAGCGATACCCAACCCTGGGCCGGGCCCCAGGGGTTCAGACTTCGGTGCCCACTAGGTTCAGAAGAGAGCGACTGCGGCGGGATTCACATCGCGCTGCAAGGGGCCTATTTACACAGGCACAGACGCTGGTTCGCGACCTGAGTAGGACTCCTCGAGCCCAGAGGCGCCAGCCTAGTGGCTGAAGAGGGCAGTATCAAGGCCCAGGAGGCGCCCCCTCCCCAGCCGACCCTTGCTCTTGGAATCCTCCAGTTGAATACGACCGACGCCCAGAGGCTCCGCATTGCGCGGAAACGCGTCCCATTGATCGTCAGCCGCACACCCGCGGGTTAAGGAGCTCCTCTCACGGCAGGCGGCTGCAGCTACCAGCCTCCTCGGCCAGCCCTACCGCTTGGCGGAAGCGGCAGCAGCGCGGCCGAAGATCGCGGTTGCATCCGGGTCCCTCTCGTCTCAGCCCAATCCTCTGCCTCCTCTCTTCCCACCCTCCTGTTTCTCCGCCCCCCCGGCGCCAATCCCTGATCGGCTCTCAGCCCAACTTGCTGGCCTGGGAGTGAAGGCGGACGGCGGCCAATGAAGCCGTGCTTCCCGTTTGAAGCCGCCAGTGAGTGGGCGCGGGAGGCGGGCGCTGCTGGCCTGAAGGTTCGGTTGCGCGTGTGCCATGGACTCAGCCGCCCGGTGATATTGACAATAGGAGAGAGAAAGGGGCATTGACGGGGACTCACCGCGGGTACCGAAAGGCGGCTCTGGCAGCGGCGGCTCTAGCTCCAGCAGCTCCTCCTCCTTCTCCTTCCTTCTCCTCCTGCTGCCGCTGCGGATCCAGTCTTCCTCCCTCCCTTCCCCCTCCCCTCGTCGCCGCCGCCGCCGCCGGGACCGGGGCAACGAGCAGAGGCGCCGCCCGCCGGGAATGTGAGCGAGGAGCCACCGGCGGAGCCGCAA